GGCCCTGTTTGATCAGGAACAGTGGTCCAACTTATGTAGCACACTGGGTCTGGACATCCAACCAGTAAAACTGTGCAGATTGTATAAGGGCACTGCTGCTCCTCAAGGCAAACCATCCCCACTGAGGGTAACACTAGGCTCTGCCGAAGATGCCGAAAAAGTTTTATTGACTTCCCAAGTCCTTTCTATAGGGAGGACCTGCAATATACGTGTTAGGCCAGATAGGCCATGGAAGGAAAGACAGATGGCGAGGGAGTCGCCAGAGCTTACTCCTTCTGCCTCCATGGTTGTTCACGGCATTCCCGAACTGGGAACGCTTGTGAGAAGCACTGTCACGATGTACAGCAATGGAGATGGTTGGCATCCCAGATGGGCCTGGGAAGTTCAGGGGCTGTCTCTATTTTTAGACTGCCTCGACCCACTCACCTAATGTCAGTTAACACTCCACGTCTGTTAGCTGTTAAGTTCAGCTCCCGAGACCACTTGACAACTGCTCTCCAATGATGGTAAGAGATCAAGGACAAGGTCAGCAGACACATTCGATGCTGCGAGAGCCGGCCTCGTACCGAAAGGAGAGAACAAAACGTTGTCATAGAGCATCCCCAACCCCTAGTCACAATACAGCGGTGCAGCACGGACGATGATAGCCAGTGTCATCCAAGTGCTCCGATTGAATCAGAAGAAAAAACGCCAACAGGCCGGTTCCCGGAGAATCGGCCAACTAGTTCGTAGGATAACTCCTCAACCGACAGCCCACATCACGTCAACCACCCCCCAATACGGGGACGTGGTGAGACTGACTACCAGTTGCCTGTACAGTAATGTGAGAGGTCTAAGAGGCAAAATAGGTGAACTTAGATACCTACAATCACAGCTGAACTCCAAAATCATAATACTGACGGGAACCTGGCTAACCCCTACGGTGGCAGACAGCGAAGTCAGTATAAATGATATGGTCCTTGTCAGGCGAGATAGGGATCTGAAAGAAGGAGGTGGAGTCGCCATATACGTCGACAAACAGCTCAGATGTGTCCATGCAATGGACCCTCCCCTCATTGAGCTCCCTGACTCCATATGGTGCCATTTCACCGTTGGGTACTGTAAGTATCTAGTGGGCAGCATTTACAGATCACCTTCATGTGGAGCAGACCACAACCAGGCACTGCTGAATGCAATTTCAGCGACACATGACATGGGTTATGATCAAATTGTCATAGCCGGAGACTTCAATGCCCCATCTCTTAACTTGATGACGGGATGTGCCCAGGACAGATTTGATCGAAATCTGCTGCATACCATCACGGAGGCCGGATTCACCGAAAATGTCAGAATGGATACTAGATGGGGCCCAGATGGGAAGTCTTCTAGACTGGATTACGTGCTCACTAGTGACCAGCTACTAGTGGAAAACGTTCAGATCACGACTCCCATAGGTAGTAGTGACCACGCGGTCATAACATTCGACATAGTCCTCCGCGAGCGTTTACAGTGGGACAATACACAGCCCTATCTGTGTTATAACAAAGCCAATTACACCGAAATGCGAAGACTTTTGTCTGAAGCAAATTGGCCAAAAAATTGGACAGAGCTTACAGTAGAAGAACACTGGAGAGTGGTAAAAGAGGTCATTCACCAGGCGATCTCAGACACTGTTCCTTTGGTCACACCTAAAGCTAGAAAGCAACGTTCATGGCTAAAAGGGGGACACAACGCCTACTACAGGCGAAGCGAAAAGCCTGGTTTGCGTGGCGAGTATCGAAGAGTCAACCCGAACATGAAGTGTACCTCGAACTCAGGAATCGATGTAACACACGAGTCCGGAGTGATAGAAGGACATTTCAGAGAAACCTCGCCAATAAGCTTCTCGTGAACCCCAAAAGCCTATACAGGTTTATGTCTGAAAGAAAATCGACCAACCAGGGAGCTTGCAATATAGTGGGTTCTGATGGGAAATCTCTTACTAGTCTTGAAATGGCAGAGACATTCAGTCTAGCCTTTCACAGGCAACTGAACAGTAACGAGGATTTTACCCCCACAAAACATCAAGATTACAATGCAAGACCAACGTGCGAAAACCTGCTGGGTACATTTCAAATTACCCCGGCTATGTTACTCGTAAAATTGGGAAAGTTGGCTTCGGGAAAGTCTGCAGGTTGCGATCACATAAGACCATTCGTCCTGAAGCAGTGTTCAGAAAGTCTCTGCCAGCCCCTAAGTGATCTGTTTCAACACTCCTTTGATGTAGGGAAACTTCCATGTGAATGGAAACTAGCCATCCTATCCCCTATCTTCAAGAGTGGTGACCGGCAGAACGCGACCAGTTACAGACCAGTTGCGCTACTCCCAGTGATATCGAAGATATTGGAAAGTCTCATTGACGACCACATGAGAAAATACTTCGACGGGACTAACCTACTCCATGAAGCACAGCACGGTTTCAGGAGGGGAAGATCCTGTGTGACGAATCTTCTACTAGCATGGAACGATTGGACACTATCCTGGGATGTAAAGGTACCAGTCCATGTGATCTTTCTCGACTTTGCGAAAGCATTCGATACAGTTCACCATGGTCTGCTCCTTCACAAAATAAGCAAAGCGGGTGTTTCTGGAGCACTTCTCGCATGGCTGGAAGATTATTTAGGCGAGAGAGAATTCTGCACCAAAGTCAACCGCATCCGATCATCCTGGCATACCTCGGCATCAGGGGTGCCTCAGGGTTCTATCTTAGGGCCGTTGATGTTTTTGATTTTTATCAACGACCTGCCCTGTCGACTGAATTGCTCTGCGCTTCTCTACGCTGACGACGTAAAGATTTAGAGAGCAATAAACTCATCGGAAGACTCCAACAGACTGCAGGCTGACCTGCAAACGCTGGGAGACTTGGCTCTGGCTAACGGAATGCCTTTCAACTTAAAGAAGTGCAAAGTAGTGCAACTTCATTCCGGCAGGTCACAGAGTGCAAATTACACCCTTGGTGGCCAGAACTTGAGTTGTGTGCCATCAGAACGCGATCTAGGCCTTATTTTAACAGAAAAGCTAGACACCAGTGTAAATTACACGAGGGACGTCGCCAAAGCTTACGCCACTTTACACTTCATGCATAGGCAGCTGGGAGCTCTTACTCCTGAACTATTCTTAACGTTGTATACGACATACGTGAGGCCACTCCTTGAGGTGCATAATATCATTGCTCCTCCGCTACTCAAAAGGGATGCTAACATGCTAGAAAGTGTCCAGAGACGAGCGACAAAATGGGTGATCGGCCTCCGCAACAAATCATATGAGGAAAGACTGAAGAAATTAATTCTTTTCACACTTAGTTACCGTAGTCACAGGGGAGACCTCATCACCGTCTATAAGATCTTAAATGACCAGGTCCACCCTAATAAAAGCATCCTGTCATTAAGTGATTATAGGCTTCCACGAGGTAACCCGCTAAGGATAGCACACCAGAGACCAAGGACTCGAGTGCGTTCACATTTCTTCTCGCTTCGAGTTTGCCGTCTCTGGAACGCTTTAGCGGCGGCCGTAACTACAGCTCCATCTGTGGAGACTTTTAAGCGGAAGCTGGACAATCATGCAGAAATGCATGGTTTGTGTCTCAATGGCTTACCCTCTTAAAATTTGAAACCACATTGTCAATGGATAAGCATACAAGCTAAATCTCCACGACCCGTCCTATCTTCTCCCACTGTACCGACTACTCTATCTTTTCTTTCTTTCTTTATTATTTCGCCTTTATTATTTCACTTATCTCAACCTATATTATCTACACTACAACCTACTATTATTATTATTATTACTACTCTACTTTTATGACTATACCGAATGACCAACGGGTGTTAGGTCAAACTCCATTCACGACAGCAGCTGAGTCCTAACATACTGCACAATACAAACCACAATCTTGACCAATCCTCGCACCACTCCTCTTGGAGTCTACCAGAGCTAAAGCAGTCGAGTGGCGGGATTTACTACGCATAAGCTCACCGAAGACCTGGAACCTCTACCTTACAATCAAGAAGCGAGCTCAAAGAAATCACTGGTTTATACTAGCTCGTAATCAGGATATTGGATATTGAAGAGTGTGTCTTCGCGACGAGAAATAATTTTCTCGCTGACTTATATGCCGTCTTCTAAAAACTGTAAAAGATTATCTATGGAGAGTCCAGTTTATTAGTCCTCATGCCCAATTATCGATTTAGTTACTTCCGCTGTTTGTGTAGCATGAGTGTGGTAACCGGCCTTAATTTTGTAGAACAGAAGAGTGACGAGTTATAAAAGTAAATATAGCTTTGTTTTTCAAAAAACATTTTTATACAATGTGAATTTTTAGTCGTTTTTGATTGTTGTAAACTTAGCATTTATGCATACCAAATCAAAAACGTATTGTGTGAAAACGTTCTTTTTCTATTTATTCCAGTGTATTTCCAGGGGGTTTATGTACAGTGCCTTTAGATAGTGGAGAAGATAAACCTGATATAGCTTGGCTACAAGTGATGTTTAATGAGCTGTGCCACACAAATCAGGAGTCCATCCACTTCAAGTGGAATCAAATAAGTCAGACCGTGCAGTGTTAAAACGTTGAAAGGGACCAAATCTTTGATAGCTTTCGTTTTTCATTCAACCGCTAACACTGCTCGGAAGACAGTTAGCTGAAAATCATAGAAATAGTTGCTGTCATTGTGGATATTTCTTACTAGGAATGCTCACTAATTTATACTGACAAGTGCGCCTAGAATTGTAGCTATGACTGAAACGAATGTTGATTTTTATATTTCTATCACCTTTCCACTGTCGCTTTACTACCGAGAAGCGAATTCTAGTGAACTGATTTAGTTTATACAAGTTAGAGGATTTTTTGACCGCCAAACAAATGATCCACTATGAAGAGTCAGACATCGTGGTTTTTTTGTCGCTATCACAAAGAAATTTCAAAGATATTACCTGATTTACACTTTCGCTTACAGATAGTACAGATGACATTAGATTTATATTGAATGTCGTATAGTGCGCTATATTTCACGTTTGCGCTTCAGTTGCAATGTGAGTGTTTCCTTGAAGTATATTACTTTCCTCTTTTCGGCCTCCAAAAGCACCTTAGGGGAAGTAAAATAATATCAAGCTAGGTGCACTGGGAAAGCTTAACATTAGAAACCCAAGCGAACGACTCACTAATTGACCCTCAATATCTTAACAGAAATGTTCACTACACTAAGTCATTCCCCTGATTTTGTTGATCTATTGAATGGAAGGCATATAAATTCTACATGAGCACTTTAGGGGGTATCTGAAAAATTATTTCGGTGATATCATGTACAAAAAGTGGTTTGGACAGACGTTATGCACCTCGATGATAAACTAGTACATATAAAAAAACCGTCCTGCGCAATCATTCTGCCACACGCTATCTGTTTTATGTGAAGTTTTCTATCGAAAAACGCTTTGGTTGTTCATGGTCGCTACCAAACACCTTTGGTCGATTATTCGCCTGGGTCGTCGACAAGCGATGCATCGGATAGCCTTAAAAAATAATATGATTTGGTATATGTGAAAACTGCATCTAAAATGGAGGAGTTAAAGAATAGTGGCCACCTTAGGTTATGACTTTTGAGAAGTAGTTAGTTACAACCGAATGAAATTACGCCTTCTCTTCTGGATTTGCTTAGGAAGTGCCAGGAAGAGTTTGATTGCTGTGTGGATAGTGGATTGACTGGATATGCTACAACATATGCAGATGAAGATTGACGTGTTCTTTTAGGAATAGGATTCTGGGTTAGGTTAAAGAACAGAATCAGAAATATAAACGGATCTCAGAGCGACATGAACAATTTCTCAATTTCTATTGCTCCTTGATTCTGATTAATTGTTCACGGCCAACGGTAATGTGGCTGATCTGGTTTAATTGGGTCCAGGAAATGTTGGTATATGATCAGTGGTATCAAGAAATATGTTTACGCGTTATAAACTAAAGTAGTTCGAATTTCTTCACAGAGATTCTATTCGAGAAATAAGTCAGGTTTCTCGCTCAAGCCTAAGTTTCACAACAATATCCAAGTAGTCCTTATACACTTCGTTATACACTAACTGATCGAAGTATGCTTCCCTCGCCGTCTTTTGGGTGTCGAGGTTTTATTGAGTACCTCCTAGATGACTACAAGAGGAAAACTGTCGATGTTCACGCTAAATTGCTGTAAACTCATAGTTCTTCAATAGCTGGAAAACCCAACTCTTCGGAATTTATGCGGATAATACTGAGTCAGCCATTTACAAATTATTCTCATCGTTATTAGTCATGTTTGATTTTATGTCAAGACACCTCTGTAATAAGTATTACCTATATTTTGAAGGTTTTAGTGAACACCAAGGGACTACGTTTTGCGTGTACTTCATGTATTGTCTAAACCACTGGGACGAACTCCCTAGTTCTTTACCATCTACCATATAAAATAAATTTTTGTGCATACAAGATGTACATAAGTGCATCATTTAAGGCTACAATATTTCGAAAAACCTTGGAAAACAAAAGAACAGAAAGAAATGGTTTTACAGTAGCCAGTCCAAAAAAATAATCTATAGACTCTGATTTTGCCACCCGACCACAGCGACTGTCTTGTACAGTTTTCTTCATATAGGTAATTATTTCTGAGCACTACTAACTTCTAACAAAAGGAGAAGCATTATCTCGCGTGGTGACCGCCAACATTAACCCAATGATGGACACTAACAAATCATTTAGTTATAAATTGCTATTACTTTTAGAATACCTGTATGCATTCCAATCGCCCATTAGTCGTACAAATGTTTGCCTTTAACCCTACGGACGTAGAAAACAAGCTGTTATGGAGCCCTTATATGTTTAACTTCTGATAAAGAAAGGGTGTGTATTTAGTGGGAGATAAATAGGCAAGAATCTGAGTATGACAGCAACATTACTCCTGACAATGCCTGGAATCATATGCAGTTTGCTACATTAACTAGTGCAGAGCAATCTGGGATGGTTTCATTGGGTTGATGTTTTGGATAGGAAAACGAATTTCCCCGTAAATGCCACAAGGGATTCAGCATAACTGATATGTTCCGTAGTACTTCTGAGATAAGGTGAAACTCAAAAAAGCGAACTCGAGGAAAATAAGCAAGCTCCCTGCTCTTGACAAAGGTATGCTGATCACTGCTGGCCACTCTGCTTCAGAGGTCATTTTAATTGTAAAAGAGGACAAAATGAGCTTTTTCACACGTTGTTTAGTGAGTTGTTGCATACTGAGATAGCACGAAAGATAATTCAAGTTAACAAATACTAAACGGTCTTTTTGTATACATGCTGGGATTTCGTTAGCAACCAACCCCATAGGGTTGATGCTGCTTCCCAATTAAGTGATCGATTGACTAACAATGTGTTATTAGAAGATAACTGGATGCTCTTATGTTTACTTACAAACCTCAACGGTTGTCCAATAGGAACTGAGCAATCTAACACACTTCGTGTATCTTATTCAAGCAGTACTTACTGTTATCACATAGTGTTGCGTATGAATGACTATTATGAGTTTAAGAATATTGCGGTGTGTGCGTACTGATGAAGAGTCCCAAACTAGGGCGAAACAACTGTCCTGTACTCCCAGGTTTTCCAATGGTTCTCTAACGAATGTCAGCTCATGATGAAATCCTGTAACCAATCAGTCAAATCCCTACAAACCAACACTTGAATATCGCGTGTCACCTGCTAGAGTAATAAATGTTTCAAACTATAATCAGTCTCCATCCACGCTGCCTATTTTGTCTATTGTTTTTTTCTCTAAATTGTAGATCATATACATTTATCGCTAAATCCCCACAAACATGGTATAATTAACCCGATTCAAACGTCTTTCCACTTAAAATCCCATTACGTATGTTTCATCTTCTAATAATGATCGTGTGCTAGCCACATGCTAGTTGAATGGAATGGATGATGTACCTTATTGTTATTGTGCCTATGAAATACCTTTTCGTGGAGTGTCTTCAGAAAATCCAACTGGTCATTTATTAACTGCTATTCGAAATTCCGGGGAGAAGTTGTTGTTTGGCAAACCATTGGATGCAATTTATCGATATGGCTCATTTGAAGTGCTACACAATAAATTAGCCTTATATGGTGTTTTAGGCTTATCAAGTTGGGAAGTTTTATTTGTCCCGTGTATTAATCCTAAGCAAGTAAACGATGAAGATGTGAATTCTGTTCGGTTAGTTTTTATTTAAAATGATCAATACTTTTCTTCTTTTTTTATCTCCATGGTAGTGTTTTAATTAATTCATTAAATTGCTTTTCTTTCATATAACTTTGGATAGTAATGAATTTTGAACGTTGAATAGATTAGACTAGTAGTATTGTATTGAATATCACTCAGTTCAATGCGATACACATGCCATTTTAGGTTGTATATGCTAGATAGGAGTAAGACAAGGATATCCACTACCTTCGGTGATATTCTTGATTGTGGTCGACCGGGTTATGCAACAAACTGTGGAGAAACAGAAGACAGCTGTATCTAGGGCCGATGAGAAGATCTTGGCTTCGTAGACGATATATGTCCAACGGCATACAACCTCGAAGATAAACAAGTGTAAACCAACAGGTTGGCAGAAGAGGCAGACAGCGAAGAGAGGACTTCAAATGAACATAGAGAAGACAGATGTGATGAAGATACCTCACGAATGTCAAAGTCAAAATAGGAAAAGCAAGACAAATCTTTATTACTCTGAAATCAGTGTGAATATTAACAACGCGCTCAGCATATGAGGTGCAATATTCGGATTTTCAGCACTAATTTGAAGTCAGTTCGTTCTTCCACATGGTTCATAGACTTAGTGTGCGCGCGTCATTAAAACGCATTTCCAACAGGCTGCTGTAGACTTTCATCAACACTTGCCTTCGCTGACTCAGTAATGAATACCCGATGACCAGCGAGATACGGTAAGCAGTGAGAAACTTTGTCAAAAAACCATCCAACAACTTGTTGCTCAACAAATATGCAGAAAGAAATGAAGATAGCTGGGACATACTACTCTGCTCTGTGAAAACTATTGAACAACATCATACTCCAAGCAAATCTTCCGGTGGAATGCGAATAGGAGGCCACAAGTTGTGCGTCTAAGAGGGTGACATAGTGCAGATTGTGTGAGGAGGGAGTGAAAGCTTATGGGTAACTATGGTGTCAGCTAAGTATGACTGCAGAGTACAGAGATGAATAAGGATTTGATTCTGTAGCTCCATATTTCACTCAGAACTCAAGAGAACAACAATAATATCATATCTAATAAAGTGTGTATGCATGTGATTGCAGAGAATTAGACTTTTAATATCTAAGTGAGTGATATCCCCTAAGTCTGCACTGCCTGGTGGGTGTAAACTGAAGATCTTTATCTGCTTTATATTTAATTTGATAAGTGCATCCATTAGAAAACTATTGAAAAACCTGCGGGGAGTACTGGAAAGCTGTTATGTCCTAGTTTGGGGTCGCTCATCAGTACGTACCCACCGATAACTGCTACCTTGCCGTGGTGGTCGGGCTTGAATGCCGCAGTGACCCAACAAGCTAAACTGTCTGGGACTCATGTCCCTGCAGGTCCTACCATGCCAGGAAGGTTGTTTGGATAGCGGTTAGACTAAAGGCAGTTACCATGGGGTACATGGGCTCCAGAATCTAATCGGATAAAATGGCGTATGAACCCATATGGGTCACCGGCAACCATGGGAACATAGCTCCTGACGCTGCTCCTCTGCCTTATGGATTGGACTCTAAGTCAAAGGCTCGGGGGGTGGTCCCTTAAGAAAACCACCTGCTTCGGTCTGGGCGCCCGGGCAGTATCTCAGCCCTCACACAATATTGTGTGGCGCATCTTTCTTGATGCCATATTGTACCAAGTTTTTCTGCGTTTAAATAAATAAATACGTACCCACCGCCAGGGTTCGAACCCAGGACCTCCGGATTACGAGGTGAGTTTGTTGACCATTCAGGCATTGAGACCCCAAGGAAACAGTTATCCAGTACGCCTTACTGGGTTTTCCAATGATCCTCTAACTGATTTCACCTCATAATCAATCCTGTAATCAATCAAATCCCTGCAAACCAACCATTGATAATACATGTGTTTTTGTTACATTGATAGTAAAAAAAAAGACTGTAACTCTGTGGTTTGATACAGTTCATTTATGAAATTATTTCTTATACGTTAATTTCACGTGTTACCTTAGATTTATAGCAGTGCATAATTATAAATAAATAAATAAATTGGACACGCAATTAGTTGATTGAATGACACGGCGCCATTAAATTTAATTATTAGTTTACTTGTTATGACGTTTGTCACTGCTTCCTCTTTTACTGTGTAATACGCAAAACTAGTTTACGCCAGTTAGCAGTTTGGAAAATGAACGACAAAAAAAACCCACCTAAAATATAATTCATTAGTCAAATCAGGGATACATTAGTCTGTCCTTGTTTCCTTGTGTTTCTCTTCACATATAGACCCATCATGGTGACACTCTTTTGTAACAAACAGTGATCTTTTTCACGTTAGTGTTTTGTAAAGATGCTTTGAAAGTCTTCAAGAAGGTAACGACCAAGTAGACTGTCAACAATTTTTGACACTATATCATGGTAGGAATCTACTGATGCCTAATTATTCAAGTTAAATCATGGATCAATATCACGGCAAGCTAGTAGACCAATTTGGTCACTGGGAGCCGACTCATTGGCCAGTCCATGAATTCTAACTTCTACCAATTCATGATTTTAACGCCTGTTCGCTACTGACTGGCTACAGGATGAGGTTGCCTAGAGTTCTAGTGAGGAATCGTGATCAGTCGGTCGGGGGGGGGATGACATTGGCTGGTGGTCACGCTAAAATCACGAGTCGGTAGAAGCTAGAATTCATGGACTGTTCATTGAGTCGGCTCCCAGTGGGTGAATAGTTTACGAGCTTGTTTTGTAACGGAAAGGTCCTGAATTCGAACCCTGGCGGTGGATGTGTACTACCGATGAGTCCCAAGTTAGGATGAAACAGCCTTCCAATACTCCGTAGCTGGTTTTCAATGATTCTCTTTCTGATATCAAACCCTAGTAGAGAAACTCCTAATTATTCAGTCTACACATCGTTATACTGTGGTGAGAGCTGTCTGCAAGCTAAAACTGTAGACAACAATTTATGTCAGTGCTTACGTCCCGAATCGAGGTCATGAGAAAAAAGCCAATAATAACGCTTAACCTTGAGGAACTCACCAACCAATCACAGCAGACTTAGCGTGTGCAAATACCATTCACAGATATATGGCTTAACTTTCTAAGGAACGATCACAAGCACTACAGAATAACCTTCGGCAGGAAAGCGACCAATCAGAAGACGTTGCTTCTCTCCTAACAACAACGCTGATTAATAATGTACATAAAAATCCATAAATATCTGTTGATTTTCTCAATAAACGATCTGTTGCCTGGCCCTTGTTTGTCTTCTGTTGTTACAATACAACTTCGAAATACATTGTATACATATTTTCGTGACCAACTATAATTTTCTTCTAAGCTTATCACACTTCTTCTTAGCTAACATTCTGTAGCAGGAGAGTAGTCAGCGAGTCAGTTAGTATGCATAGCATATGACTTAGTCACACACTTCGTGTTAAACTAAATTCCTTGTGTATTGATGTAGAATTTTTTTACACTGTTGGTTATTTCATTATGATGTACTGCAGTATGGTGTGTATGTGTGTATATGTAGTGTAGTGTGGTGTGTTGTTTTAGTCTGTTTTTACAATATAAAAAGAATATAAATGCTTAGATATTATTTATGTTCTATGCATGACATAACTTGTTAACTTGTATACACTTTCGTGATAAGTGACCATTATACGCGTGCGCGCTCGCTCGCTCGCTCGCGAGAGAGAGAGAGAGACAGAAAAAAAACTGTTCACACTGTAGCTATTTTCATACTGATAGATATTCAGTTTAGTTCTCTGTATGTACCAGTTTGAAGTGGGGCTTTTTGTCCTCGAAAAAAAACGGAACAAGAACGCCTATTGGACAACCGTGAGAACTAGTAGTATAAGCTATTAACGGACTGAGATTATGTTGTTTGTTATTATGAAAACGCAAATTTAGTATATTATGGACACCAACAGATGCGCCACATAAAATCTCGGGGGTTAGGAGATACTGCTGGGACGCTCAGATCAAAGCAGGTGGTCGTCTTAAGGAATTAGCCCCTCCCCTCCTTTGAGCCTTTGACTTAAAATCTGACCGAAAAGAGAGTAGATCAGTATCAGGAGCTTTTTTCTCATGGTTTCCGGTGACGAAAAGAGGTCCATACGTTATTCAATTCGTTTTGGGATTCCGAATGGATGTGAGACCTGGCCATTGAGAGTGGAAGACATGAAAAACCTGGCTAGCTGTGTTTGATCATTGGTAGCTGCGTTCTATCTCCCGTGTGAAGTGGTATAATAGGATAAGCAATATTGAGGTTAGGCGTCCGTCGAGTGCTAGGTAAGGAGGGGAATCAATAGACGAGACTGTGAATTTACACCAGTTGAGATGGCTAGGACATGTTACGTATGCCTAACCACCGCCTTCCTCGACAACGGGCAATGTTAGTTGAAATAGGGTCAGGCTGGAAAAGAGTCAGCGGTGGTCAAACCAAAACGTGCCCTCATCAATTAATGAAATCCACAACAGTTAGTTTTTAGCTAGGCACGTAGGAAGGTGTAGACTTCCTGACTGGTTGGAGTCATCGGGACGGTAAGGGTTAGGGCGCAGATGCATCCACTCCTTGTGACTTATAATATCCAATAAAACTATATTGTTCTTCTGTATCACTATTCTTTTTACCTCATATCTCTGTTTACTGTCTCTGTTTTGCATTTCTTTCTACTTTCTTCTCTTGCTTTGTGTGCTAAATGGAGGGAGTGTGGCGACTTGAACTGCTGCACATCGGTGCAAAGTTCTATGTTGAAACCAGTCAGTAGGGATTCCGGAACCCATGTACACTACAGGGTTAGGAATCAGCGGTTTTCAGCTCCAATGACTGACTTACTGGTTACAAAATAGAAATTTGCACAGAATTGCAGCAGTCCTAGTTGCTACACTCCATGAAACACACAAAGAAAGACAAAAGAGGAAAACTAAACAGATTTGAAAGGATGATAATAAACAGAAATATGAGAGGGGAACAATAATAACACAGATAATAA